CCTTTTTAAAAAATAAATTGCACATCCTTGTTTTTCAACTCAAACTCTCACTGCTGGTTTTACTTTCTTTTATTGCTCTTTTCTCTCCGTAAAGCATATTGAAAACTGTCTTTTTTGATCATTTGATTTGATTTATTATCGTCACACGTATCAGGATACAATGAAGACTACTGATTTTGTGTGAACCAAATAAATCATATCTTACATAAGTATATCAGAACAGAATGCAGAATATAGTGTTACAGCTTCAGAGAAGGTGCAGAGAAAGATCAACCCTAATATGAGAGGTCCATTTATAAGTCTGATAACAGTGAGGAAGAAGCTGCTCTCTTCTAGCAAGAAAATAATGCCTTCTCAGACCAAGTGATCTCTTTTCAGAGGGACACTGCAGCAAAATACCCTAGGCAGTGCACAAAAAAGGAAATCTTTAATTAACAATTGGTTGTCTTCAAAGTGTCTCTGCATATATTCTATTGTTCAATTTGAAACAGTACTAGGCCCTCTGTTTCTGTTTACTAAAAAGCTCGAATTCCTGACTGTCAGAACTTCAAGAATAGAACATGTTCTTCTAGTAGAGATAATCTCTACTAGACTTCAGACTTAGCCAGCCTGATTCATCCTGTCACTGCTGTTCTGAATAATATTATGATCACACGCCACTCTTATGCGATGCACGCAGTTAAAGAGTACAAATATGATTGCGAAGACAGCAGTTGAAGGAGATGGAAACAGTCTGCAATGGAATGAATGTTTGGATGCAGCGGCTCAAAATTTCTTCCCAAGACATAAAGGCAATTAAGATATGTGAACTGTAGGGGATATAGCTATCAGCTGGACTATAGTACTGTATTATGCCTTGTAGTCCACATCATTTCATCATGCTTATTTTTAGAATACTACTCTGTTCCTTGAACTCCTGTTCTCTTATGCTTGTTTGGGATTATTTATTGCAATGTAGAGTTTGGATGCTGGTTATGTTGAGCAGATGGTCTTTTACTGGAGGTTAATTACAATGGAAAACCTTGCCAGCCAAATTTATAAACGTATATACTTATATGACAACAGGTAATCCCTCATAACATAACGAATATCTTAAATTAGAGATTCCACTTCAAATGGAAAAACAAATCCAGTATAGATTCCAAAAATTTCTTATGTGTTCTCTGTTCCCTAGCCATACCATGTACCTTGATTAGGACAAGTCTCTTAATCTGTTATTTTAACAAATGATTACTAAAGTTATACATAAAATTCATGAATATCCTCAAAGTTCAATTAGAACAGTCAAGCACAATATGCCTTTTAGAAATCTGTATCAATTGTCCATACCAACAGAATTTTAATCACAACGAACACTTTGAGATTCTACACGAGTCATTCTAATCTACCTTTTTTTACTTTTTGAAGCTCAAGTAAAGAATTCTGAACTTACCGTATATTCTGTTCTGGGTTTCATGGACTGCAGTTGATGAAATTCCTCAATCTTGACTTGGTCCGTATCTGGTTTCAGTTCCCAAGTGCTTTCTTCATATGGAAGAGAACACCACTTCACCAAATAATGGGTTATTGGCTATTTTGAAAACCAAAATTAATTCATTTGGGATTGCTAATTTGCACATGTATCTTATGCTAACGTACAGCGTCCTCTGCACAAAGCAAAACTTTCTTTTTTAAACATTACAGTAAAGATCAGAATAAATTTCTATCAAATGTATTGACCAGACTGATTTAATAACAAATTCTAAATTTCAAAGAAACTATATAAATAAGATGATTAACAATACCTTTTACTTTTGAAAACAAGTGTTTTGAAATTTTTACTGTCAACTAGTAGGAGCCCATGGTGTAAAAGGTAACACACAGAGGGGATTGGCTAGTAGAAAACAGACAGCATGCGAACACTTGCATTTTTCTGAATGGTGGGATGTGACAAAGCGGTTCTTGCTATGGTCTACACTACGCCCTCAACCATTTACTATTTATATCAATGACTTAATTCCGGGGAGTGAAGGCATGTTAGCTAAAACTGCAGATAACACAAAGATATTGATATGTTAAGTGAATGGGCAAAGATCTGGCAGATGGGGTCTAATGTGGTACATCTGGCAGAGGGATCTCTTTTTTAAAAAAAAGAGTATGTCTAAATGGAATACAGCAGCAAAATGCCAAGTTGCAGAGGAATCTAGATGTTATACTGCCCGAGTCACAAAAAAAGTTAGTATGCAGGGACAGCAAGCAATTAGTCAGAGGCTTGTCTTTTTGTTAATAGATATTTTAGAGGGCTGCGCAACTTAGGAACAGCCTGCTGCAGAAGGTGGTGGAGACAAGGTCATTGATTTTTTTTTTTAAGGCAGAGGTGGGTAGATTCTTGTTAGACAAGGGTTATTCAAGGGTTGCTGGGAATATTAAATTTTGATCACAATCTTATTTAATGGCAGGGTGGGCTCAAAGGGCCGAATGGCTCATCTCTGCTCGTAAGTCATATGTTCGTACACATGTAACTAAGCTCAACATGACAAGTTTGATATAAAAAATCCGAAGTGATAAATATCCTCAAATATGCATTTCACAGGCAAACGCTCATGAAATCCATTTTGGTTGGCTCCTGTTAATCAGCAAGCAACACAAACAGGATAAACCTTAATTTATTCAAACAACACAATTATAGAAAATGACCAGATCACTTACATTAACTACAATTTCTAAATAGGGAAGTTTGTACTTCGGCCCTGACACAATGAGGTTTTCCATTGAATAGGGAAAATATTTTAAACCATGCAAGCTTTCTGTTGTCATTGTATCAGCACACCATATTCATCAAGTAAGGACCAAGCAGCAATTGCTCAAAGTTAATTATATTTTCTTCATGTACAAGCCTTTAAATTCAATTTAATCTAGTTCTAAAATCGCTAGCCATAACCTAGTCAGGGGAAATTCAACTGCACCCATTTTTCAAGTATTACAGCTCAGAAATGGAACAGCTTAAAGTAAAGTAAAAACATCCTAAACGATCAGACTCATCTAAGCTACAGAACAAAGAGGACTATGGTGGAGAAACACAGTTCTTTGAAGGCCAGGACAGCAGGTAGAAAAGGCGAAGAGAAAGGGAAACTGGGTTTTAATGTTTCTGTGTCAAAAGGATAATGCTGCATTTTCACAAGATGCTAGTCAACTACATGTTGCATAATACATTCTCTACTGGGTATCTCTTTATAGGAAGGATATTAGTCCCAGTGAAAGGAAATATTATGTATATTGTCACTAAAACAAAACATACAAATAAAAGGTTATACTGATGGAGGAAAGACTGAAACATTTAAGATTTTCATCGAAGGCTTAAAGGTTGCCAGAGGACCATAGGGCTTCTCTTTTACCAAAGAGGCGACTGGTGGTAGCTTAACCCGAGGGTCACAACACTTCAGGTGAAGACAGGTTGAAAAGGAGAGCCCTCCAATGGTAGCCTCAGCCAGTACAGGAAGTGAACCAATGTGCTTGGTGTCACTGCATTGCAAATCAGCTGTCCAGCCAACTGAGCAAAATCTCACCGTTTTGATGGGTTAAGTATTGGGAAATTGTTCCATAGATTTAGCAAATCAATAGGAAAGGGGTATAGGCAAATGGATTGGCATAAGAGGAACAGAGCAGAAGTTGGAAGAATTTCTTTCCCAACACAAGTTATCAGAATATGGAACACTTTTTTGCCACAGTGGTTATTAAGGCAGAATTATATTCATTAAAATGCAACTAGTATTTTTATGTATTCATACAGGGGATATGGCAATTGCTGGCTAGGTTGGCATTTACTGTCCATTGCCTTTGGAGTGGTATTGAGGCACCTTCTTGAAACACCGCAGACCACGAAGTAGACTCTCAGTGCTGTTGGGGAGGGAATTTCAGGATTTTGATTTAGTATTTGAAAAGAACGAGTATTAAAAAAGAGAAAGAAAAAGCAGCAGAATTGGAGAAGATAACCCCATTTTAACAGCCATCAACTCTCAAAAACAAAGTTGCTGGAAAAGCTCAGCATGTCTGGCAGCATCTGTGAAGGAGAAAACAAGAGTTAACGTTTCGGGTCCGGTGACCTTTCCTCAGAACGTTTCTGGACCCGAAACGCTAACTCTTGTTTTCTCCTTCACAGGTGCTGCCAGACCTACTGAGCTTTTCCAGCAACTTTGTTTTTGTTCCTGATTTACAGCATCCACAGTTCTTTTGGTTTTAACAGCAAACAGCTTTCTGGTACAGTTTAATTTCTATTATTCTACAAATCGCAAGACACATCTCAATGAATGACATTTTTCTTCATTCAGGAAGCCATAACTACATTTGCTGGAGAGATCTTAACATGATATCTACTTTGATATTCAAAGTCAATTGCTTAGATTATACCCATGCCTCTTTGGGTTTCAAAATATTGAGTCAAGTCGTCCCTCACCCTTTCTTAGTCTTATCTCTTGTAGGTTGTAGGTTACTTGGTCTCACAGCATGGGACAAACTAAACAGCAAGGGTTCCAAAATGAATAATTGTGAGCTGCTTTTTCTTTTGTTCCCCACTTGACAAACTACCTGTGTATGGTTTGTAGAGTTGGGCAACAAAAGGAAAAGCAATTAGTTCACATTGACGCATTCATTCCGGAACCCTTGCTATCATCATCTTATGCTCCTATTGTCGAGGCAGCTTTCAACCTAGTTTTATCATCAATTTCTTTTTAAAACTTACTGGACTTATTTTCAGGCTCTTATGCTTTCAAAACAGTTTAGATATGACAGCTTAGTCATTTGCACACAAGAACTGAATGAATGAATGAACTTGAAGTTTCAAGATTGGTTTCAGAGTTCTGGTATGAGTTTTTGTTTGAAGTGAAGTTTCCCAAACCAGATTTCTCAGCAGAAGTTCCTTTTTCAAGTGTGGTGAAGAAACCACACTACAATGTAAACTCGACTTTATCATGTATATTTTTCATCTCTGTTTTCAATCTTATTTGAATTTACTTCTGGTTTCATGTTTCTCTCAAGTTTTAGTTTCATGTCATTCCAAAGCAAACCTCCCCTCCCAACACTTCATTAAATTGATTATTTTTAAACCGACTCTTATTCCTGTATTTATATCCAACATCTATTTCAAAAACACAACATATTGGGATTTACTTTTCCCATAATTCCATATACTACTAATCGTGAAGGCAAGATTTTCCACAGAACTTCGAGCACCTTCTCACATGTGATCAGAGATATCAAACACAGACAACAGTCAATCACACCTCAGTCAAATCGTTATTTTGTTTGGGATTTGCATGTTTACAAATTTAACCAAGCCCAGTGAATACCCATCTCAGAGTAGTAACCCTGTCTAATCTTCCCTATTCCTCAAAATGAGGATATAAAAATTAAATGCAACTAACCTCCTTTTATCCAGTAATACCATCTAAACTCAGCAGAAATGATAAAATCTGAGCCCTTCTTCTTATATAAAGCTAATGTTAACTGCCAAAGAGGGTAGGTAAAATCAAACATTAGTTTCCCAACTGTCAAACTGTGATTTTGTTGCACAGTATTTGATAATCCAATGCTCCTTTAATGTAATATTTAAAAGTACAATTTCCACATACAAAATGCTTATTTTGAACACATCTCAATTCCTTAATTTTAACACTGCAGTGCAGCACAATGATTTCAAAAACAGGTTTTCATTTGCACAACTTAAGAAGTAAACGCAGACTAAGTTGATGACTGCTGATACGTGTTGTCGAATAACACTGACATTTGTTCTTTCAACAATGAGCAGAATTGGTAGTCCAAGCCTAATATTGATGAAAAAAGAATGCACAAATGCCAAAGTAAGTACTTATGCTCAATTTTTAAGTAGAATGGGAGCTACAAATTATTTTCATCTAATTCATTTAAGAATTTTAAAGATGCTTAGGTGGGAACTATGTAATGAACATAAAAAATAAATTTAAACACAACTGTAATGTTTGGGGTGAATGGCAGAAGCAGCTTTTCAAAAATAAATATGGCTCAATTATAATATTTAGAAATTTCAGTCCAATACCATTGTTTTTAGTATGTCATTATTCATGCAGAATTTGGTTTGCTGCTCTTACTTGGCAAAGTGTTTCGTGGATTGACAGCCCAAATTTCAATAAAACTCATTAAATTGCAACACAGAAATCACTAAACTACTGAAGGGTCAAGAAGCCTGCACACATTAATACTTCATACGACATTTTGAAGCAACAAATTCTAGTTCTTACATTTAAGCAGTTCACAAGGCATAGGTAAAACATTATTTCTTACCTCTCCACTATCTTTATCAGTGCTATGTGAAACATCAAGTATCCGATCTACCTCTACATAATCTGGATTAAAAGGCTCATCTTCAACCTGCAAAAAAGGCCAAGAAACAGCTGACCTCTTGGTTTTCATACTATATGTATTAGCCTTCAGCAGTCTGGCGATGCTAAACGTGTTAATTAAGTAACTAAAATTCAGCAAGGCTACTCCCTATGAGGAACTAAATTCCTCAGGCTTTATTAACTAGCCCCTTAATTACTGTGCAATCCTGTACAAATACAGCATTTTACAAGTATTTTAAATGGTGTGAAATAATATCTCGCTTAGGAGCAACATTTGAGTAGTCATGTATTTAATTGCTAAGCATTCCTTAAAAAGGCAAAGTTAAAAGAAACCAGTGCCACAATGGCAAATCTGAAAAGCTGACTAGGGACTATATGACTTGAACCCAACTAAAGAGCAAATAGTTTAAACATCACTGCACAAAGAATTTTCACAAACAATGCCTCTCTATAAAATTAGACAATGAAGCTCTCAAAATTTACCTTCACAAGGTAGTGCTTGGGAGAAAGATGTTTGAAAATATAATTAATGAATGGTCAAGATAGTAACTATGCCAGGACTAACTAATAAACATGAAACAATAGATATTTCATGCATCGGCTTTTTCAAAGGGTACACCAACATTGCACTCAATATTGGAAACAGAATATAAATATAACATCCTGCAAACATGATATACTTGATTTATTGCACAGCAGTTAAATAAAATGCTTAAAATGTCATTGGTGTGAACTGATGACATATGGTTTGATTAGTCACTGGGACAAGTTCTACCTTGCCTCCACTTCCCCTCAACATCATTGATTTTCAAATAAAATAACAGCTGTTAATGCAATGTTGGCCCTCCTTTCAAGGCAGGTGTAGTATAAGAGCAGGGAAGTCATATTGCAACTGTACAAGATGCTAGTGAAACCATACCTGGAGTACTGGGAGCAGTTTAGTCCTTTCTTAAGGAAAGGAATTTTTTCATTGGAGGAAGTTCTGAAAAGTTTCACTATGATGATCCCTAGTATGGAGGAATTGTCTTATGAGCAAAAGGTTAAGAAGGATGGGATTCTACTCACTGGAATTCAGAAGAATGAAAGGTGATCTTATTGAAACATATAGGATTCTTAAGGAGCTTGAGAGGGTAAATGCTGAGAGGATGTTTCCCCAGATGATAGAGTCTAGGACCACAGGGCATCGTCTCAGAACAAAGGGGCACCAATTTAAGACTGAGATGAGAAGGAATTTCTTCTTTCAGAGGGTTGAGTGCCTTTGGAACTCCTTGCCAAAGACAGCTGGAGGGGCAGAGTCCTTGTGTATATTTAATGTTGAGATAGATTCTTGATCAGTAGGGGAAATCAAGGGTTACAAGGAAAAGTGGACATGAGAAATGTTAGAGACAGTAAGAACTGCCGATGCTGGAGTCAGAGATAACAGTGTGGAGCTGGAGGAACACAGCAGGCCAGGCAGCATCAGAGGAGGAGGAAAGTTGACGTTTCGGGTCGGGACCCTTCTTCAGAAAATGAGGAATATTAGATCAGCCATAATCCTATTGAATGGCAGAAAAGGCTTGAGGGGCTGAATGGCCTATTCCTGTTCCTTTTTCTTATGGTCATATCCAGGAATAAGGGTCTTGGCTATTTTTTTCAAATTCTCAGCTAGGACTGTGGAGATTTATTGTTGTACCTCAATTATCACCCTAGCTAAACTGAATTATCTAAGAATATGGATTAAATTGGAGCTTCATTTCTACAAAAATTTTTACAGAAAATCAGTTTTGATTTTAATGGTAAAGACCTTTTAATGGCTTTAACCACTGTGAAAGTTGCTTCAGCATCTCATTTATTAAATGTTAACCATACAAAAATGTACAGTGAACAGATGGCATAATTTTCTTTACCCAGGATGTTGCAACATGTATAAACTACATAAAAGACGGCAGAACTTCATGTTTTTATGGAAACCAACATAACAAAAACAATATTGTCCTTTCAAAATATTAACAACCAAGGGTATATTTAGAAACTTCACAAGTGTCTGCTCAGACAGCAAATAGTCACTCTTGATTAATTAAGCACAACGATACAGCTTTTCATATCGTTTCTTCAAAAGTGTGAATATTTGCTACAAGCCTAAGGAAGAAAATGTACAACCATGACTCAATTAGAACCCAGACGAGCTCATTCTGATCTATTCATTCATAAAATAATTAATTACATGTGTTAAAATGATTTTCATATTTTATAGGATCTTTATATCTAGACCTTATTTTTGGTTACAACTTTGTACAGGTTCTGGTCTTTAATGCAAGACTAAGGCCAAGTAACTCTTACATGATTAGAGTGCAACCATAACACAGGTATAACTACAAAATATGCAGCAGAAATCCAATGATCAAAAAATATTTAAGAAAATGAACAGCGCCTGCAGACAGTGTGAATAGGCAACCACATTATTGCCACAACATTTAAAATATGACTTGTAGTTATATTATGTCTTTAAAGTAGGAAAAAATTTCCAAGGTGCTTTATTTTGTTTTACCTATTTTTCTAATCAATCTGTTCAGAAATGTTATTACACACTTTTGGAGCAGTTAAGGACAAGAACATGCCTGAAATCAAAGTTCAAAGATTGACTTTAACCAGATCAGATATGAGTTGGCCAGAGTGCACTGAGAACAGAAGTAGGATGCATCCAAGAAGAAAATACAACAAGTACAGGGCCAACATGTTCCAATAAAGGAAATGGTGGAACCAACAAATCCAGTGAACGCTGGATATTAAGGGATGCACAGCATTGGATTAAGAGAAAAAGGCAGATACCGAAGACTCAAAACAGCAGAAGCCCTAGCAGAGTATAGAATATGTAGGAAAGAACTTAAAAGAGAGATAAGGCGAGTGAAAAAGGGGATTATGAAAGGATACTAGCAAATAAAATAAAGGAAAATGCTCAGCTGTTTTACAGGTAAAAAGATAATGAGGAAAAAAATAAGGCCCATTAAGGACCACAGTGGTAATTCAAGCGTGGATGTAGGTAGGATTCTAAATGAATACTTTGGGTTGGTGTTCACTAGTGAGACAAACGATATGGGTGTAGAAATCAGGGACAAGGACTGCGTTATTATTAAGGAAATTAGCATAGACAGAGAGGACTAGCCGGCTTAAAAGTAGATCATTCTCAAGAGTCAGATGAAATGTATCCCAGGTTGTTGAGTGAGGCAGGAGACCATGCAAAAATCTTCAATTCCGCTCTGGCTGCAAGAGAGGTGCCAAATGACTTGGGGGACAGTCAAAGCGGTAGCTCAAGAACTGAGCAAGGGAAAAACCAGGAAACTACAAGTCAGTCAGTCTGTTGCGGGGAAACTACTAGATGCAATTCTGAGGGTCAGAATTAACCCGCATTTGGAGAGGCAGGGATTACTCAACAACAGCATGATTTTGTTAAGGGGAGGTCATGTCTGACTAAGTGGATTGAATTTTTTGTAGAGGTAACCAGGTGTAGATAAGGGCAATGTTTTTGATTTATTTTATTTGGACTTCAGCAAAGCTTTTATATGTGAGACTGATAGGAAAGGTAAGAGCCCATGGCATCCAAGGAAATTTAACTAGTTGGATCCACAACTGGCTGAGTGGCAGGAAGTACAGGGTGACATTTGAGGGGTATTTATCCAACCAGAAGTCCAAGTGCAAGGGAATAGATGATGAACGGTAGAATCCTGGGAAGCACCAAGGATCAGAAAGATAAATGGGACACTGGCCTTTATTAGCCTAGGCATAGAGTTTAAGAGCAGGGTGGTGATGTTGGAATTGTAGAAAACATTGATTGGCCACAGCTAGAATATTGCATGCAGTTCTGGAATCTATTTTATAGGAGAGATGTGATAACACTGTAGAGGGTGCAAAGGAAATTTAACAGGATGTTGCCTGGGCTGGAGAGTCATGAAATTACATAAAAATTGGGCAGACTGAGGTTATTTTCCTTACAGCAGAGGAAATTGAGATGTATAAAATTATGAGGGGCATAGAGAGGGTATACTGGAAGAAACTTTTCCACTTGATGGAGGGATCAATGACCAGATTTAAGGTATGGAACAGAAGGTTTAGAGGAGATGCGAGGAAACCTTTTGCCCCAGAGGCTGATGGGAATCTGGAACTCACTAAGAGCGGTAGAGACAGAAACCCTCATAACATTTAAGTAGCATTTAAATGGACACTTATGATGCCAAGGTATACAAGGCTACGGGTCAAGTGCTGGAAAATGGGATTAGAATAATTAAGTAGTGTTTTTAACCAGTGTGGGGCATTGGACCAATGGGCCTTTTTCTGTGCTTTAGATGTCTATGACTAAAGTCAAAATCGTGAGTCAAAGCAGATACAGGAGTTTAATCGAAAGCTTGATTTTAAAGTAAGATTGTGAAGGAACAGAGATTAAGCGACGTAGAGATTTTAGGAGGTAACCTAGATCATAGAACCAAGCAGTTGAAACCATAGTCAACATGACCAAGGGCGTAGACAAAAGGCTAGAGATGAACAAACACAGAATTCTGGCAGTTTGATAGGCAAAAAGGTTGGACGACAGAGCTGGTTAGAGATAGGGGAGGTGAGGGCCTGGCAATAAACATCAAACTGAAGATTTTAAATTAGAGAGACTAGCAGACTGCAAAGGGAAAAAGACAGAAAGGACAGGATTGATAGGTGAGCAAGCCTTACTATTGAGGTTAGTTTTGGACGATCTGAGGTTGAAATTTTTGAGTTACATACAATGTTTCATCTGAGCAATAGCATGGCGGATCAACCAGCCTTCTATAAAAATTGAATGAATTCTGACCTCAGTGAGAAATTTATTCATTTGTGCCTGCTTTGCTTTGAAGCGTTTAATCTTCTGGTGAATCCTCTTGTCCTTTGCCAGCTGCTCCACTGTGGTCCACTGACAATGAAGGTAAGAACTGAAAAAAATTAAAATTAAGTGAATCAATTTCATCAAGAAAAAAACCATGAAATACTCTAGTACTACATACTATGCATATAAAAGGGTCTTTAAGAAAGTGGCAGCAGAGATAGTGGATTGGCAATAATATTCAAAAACTCCCTGGATGCAGGACCAGTTCCAATGGATTGGAAAATTGCTAATATTTATTCAAAAAGAGATTGAAGCAAAAAGTAGGAAACTGCAGACTATTTAGTGTAAAGTGTATCAGCTGGAAATTGTTAGAATCCATTATAAATGAAATAATAATGGTGCTTTTGGGAAGTAAAAATACAATGCATCAGAGCATTATGAAGGGTAAATCATGAAGGTACAGAATTCAGGAAAAGGGACCGTAAAGAACTTGCACAGTTTGGCACAGAAAATGAGGTAGAATTGGAGGCTCTGTCAGGTTTAAGAATGGACAAATCCCCTGGGCTAGATGAACTACATCCCAAGATTCTGTGGGAGGTGAGGCAGGAAATGGCAGGGGCTCTGACACAAATGTTTAATTCCCCTCTGGCCACAGGGGAAGTGGCCAGCTAATTTGGTTCCACATTTTAAAGTGGGATGGTAAAAATGAATCAGGAAATTACAGACCGATGAATCACGGGTTAGTAGTAGGGAAACTATTGTAGAAAATTCTGGAGGAGCAAATTAATACCCACTTGGAAAAGTATGGTTAATTAGGGATCATTCGCATGTCAGAGTAAAATCATGCCTAATGAATCTGTTAGAATTTTTTGAAAATGTGATCAAGTGTACGGATGAGGGAAGTTCAGTTGATGTAATTTATATGGATTTGAGCAAAGCTTTTGACAAGGTCCCACATGGGAGACTGATTGAGAAGGAATTTGACAGAAACTTGGTGAGATGGATCAGAAACTGACATAGTAATAGGAGACAAAGGGTAGTGGTAGGAAGCTGTTCGGGTGATTGGAGGCCGGTGACCAATGGTGTATCTCAAGGATCAGTACCGGGACCCTAATTGTTGTGTTGTTATATACATAAATGATACAGATGATAATGTAGGGGGAATGTTAAGCAAATTTACAGACAACACCAAGATTGGTAGAGTGGTTGATAGTGAAGATAATGGTTATTGGTTACAGGAAGATGTAGATGGGTTGCTCAGATGGGCAGACCAGCAGCAGATGGTACTTAACTCCGATAAGTGTGAGTCAATGCACTTTGGAAGAAGAAACCAGATATGGGTGTATTTAATGAATGGCAGCACGCTGGGTAGCTTAGAGGAACAGAGATATCTTGGGGTAAACATTCATAGATCCCTGAAGTCAACAGAGCACATGAATAGGATGGTTAAGGCAGAATGTGGTTGTATTGCAGACAGTTCAGAGGAGGTTCATTAGATTGATTCCAGAGATAAGGGTCTTGATCTATGAAGACAGATTGAGCAATTTAGGCCTATATTCTCTGGAGTTTAATTAAGGTATATAAGATATGAAAGGGGATTGACAAATTAAACATAGAAAGGATGTTTTGTCATGTGGGACAATCTAGGAGAAGAGATCATAGTTTTAGAATATGGGGTTGCAGATTTCAAGCAGAGATGAGGAGAAATTACCTTTCTCAAAGGATTGTGAATCTGTGGAATTCACTCCCCCAAAGTGCTGTGGATGCTGGAACATTGAGTAAATTTAGGGAGGAGATAGACAGATTTTTATTTAATAATAGGTAAAAGGGTTATGGAGAGCAGGCAGGAAAGTGGAGTCGAGGCGGAGAGGAGATCAGCCATGATTGTATTGAATGATGGAGCAGGCTTGAGGTGCTGAATGGCCTACTCCTGCTCCTAGTTCTGATGTTATGTTCCTCTAAATTGATGGTGGAAGCAATAATATATTACCTGTACTTTCCCGCAAAGGATAGGGCAGTGGGTTTGCAGGGGAATGTTTCAACTCCTAAACTATTTTCCCCAAACATAAATAGTTTCAGAAATACAAATTCAAATGATTCATATCAACATAATAGCTCAAACTCTTCAAATACAACTTACTTGCTAAGACAATAAACTACAATATTCAGGGATTTTCAAAAGGGCAAGATATATCAACATATTGTAACTGGCAACCATTTACTCAACTTTTTCTTCAAGTGCTAACAGAATTAAAGGAACAGTAAACTTTAAAATTGGTTCCATTACTGATACCATAAATTTCTGACAGTATATCAAAAAATGCTGAACCAACAGTTGGTCTCCATGCCAAAAATGCATCAAAAGGTAGTCAGCTTATTCAGAAGATGGGTAGATTTCTCTAGATAATACTTCTCAAAGGTAATTATGACTGGGGAACAAATGCTGACCCTGTCAGTGACATTCATCCCTGAAAGATTAAAAAAAACCTAATCAAAATTAATCCTTGTCTGTTAAGTTCAAGTCAGTCTATGTCCCAAGTCGTTGTAAAATTCAGATCATTGTACTGCAAGCTATTTAATACAGAAGTACTTGAAAGCTGAGCAATGCTCATTGTTTTCACATTGAATTTCAACTGCCTTAATGAAAAAGACACCGCACAAACATACATTACATTTATTATTTATTACATATACATAGACCAATGAAGTCTCAAGTGCAATATTAGGCAGAATTCTACGCTCAATTTTCTTTTGATAAGAAATTCTGCACTGGAGGAGGAAGAAGCAGAGAAAGATGATTGGATGGGCAGTGGTTGGCAGTACTGATACTTAACTACAAACTGACAAATCCAGATAAACTGGCCTGGACAGAAACCAATAGGGGTATTTTAGATCATGGTCATGCCTTAAACGGGCAAAATAGCTCTAAATGCAGTATCACTGCAAATCTCTGACTGATTTCCTAAACTCAATTTAGCACAGTCTCATGATGTTTCAGTGATAGTACTGAACTTAGAAAATTTTGGAGCACATTATAGGAGGCCATTACTAAACATGAAGGCCTGTGATGTGAAATGTCACACAAAGAAAAAACTAGCACTTTAAGATCTGTTTTCAAAAGTCACCCAAAGATTTTTATTCGCAATCTTTGCTTTCAAGTATTTTTAGACAAATGAACAGGTGTTATATAGATACAAATAGTTTAGTTATTTCATTCAGAAAAACAAGAGAGAAAAAATATTAATTATTCAACGTAAGACGGGACACATTCAGTTTTCCGACATGCCATCTATATAAAGAAAGTAGTCAAACAGGATGCAAATGGGCTGGGCAACATATGGAATACTACCACTTGGGCCTGGGCTCGGGTTCTTCAGGTTTGTCAGCCTCATCTACCAACTGCTTACTGCAACAAAATAGAGACAACTTAACTCTACATTTTGGGTGGTAGGAAGAGAGGGAGAAAGAAAATACATGAGAGAGAATGAGTGAATGAAAGAGCATGCAACAGAAAGAAAGAGTGCGAAAGAGAGAGTGTTTGTGTGGTGCAAGAGAGGGAGTAAGAGATACTGCACAGTGGTGGTGGTTGAGTGGGGTGCAGAGGTGGGGGTAAAGGGTGAGGGTCTGATGTCTCTGAGGGACAAGCACATCTGCAACTATAGCTCATAGATGTTATGCACTGAGAGAGACCGGTGCATCCGAGAGCTGCTTCTTGCCTATACCCTTGTAAAGAGCAAGTCAAGGAACTCAAATTATGTAAACACCATAATTCAAAGAGTGAGAAAGCACTGTACTCTTATAAACAAGTTTAAAATGACATAATTCACATCATTGATTTGCAGTCTCTAAAATTTGCCTTCCCTTTTTGTCAACCACAGTGGAGGCACTTTACAGCAATCTAGAAGCAATATCAAGTGCAGCAACTTCATATTCAAACCACTACTTGCATTATTTTGAATGATACCGATTCTGGTCATTAAATTATTTCAGCCTTCCATCTTATCAAACACCTCCCCACTTTAATCTTTCTTCACCTCCTGTGTCCTTACATTGGGAACATTAATCAGTGGCTGGGATTCGCCCTCCCCTCACCCTGAGATATTACACATGAATCATCATTAGCAACTTTCAGACTATTTAAGAGTCACCTGGGCAGTTGGTGGGGGTGGGGACCAGAAGAGCCTGACAGACACAGTCAGACACAGAAGGAGCGTGAAACCAAGGATGTGAAAGAGAGAGCAACAAAATGAGTGACAAAAAGTGAAAGCAAAAATGAGAGATAGAGTGCGAGTGAACACGAGTGAGAGAGACCAATCAAAAGTGAGTAATATGGGGGGGGGGGGGGGGGGGGGGGGGGGGAAAAAAAAAAAAAAAAAAAAAAAAAAAAAAAATAAAAAAAAAAACACAAAAAACCGAAAAAAAAAGACAGCGT